AATGTCTTTTCATTTGGTAAAAGCTAAAATTTAAAAATTATGAGATTCGGTGATCTAACGGGAAATGTGGCCAAAAACTGGGAGAGTTGGCAGCTATGCATTTATTAAGGATATTATTTATTTTACATGAAGTCCACCTCCCAGAGATAATGCTTCAAACTTCATATATGGTCAATTCTATTTCTTCATCTCACCTTCTAATTAACTAGTCAATAATTGACACACAATGATGCCACTTGATATATAATGTGTATGAGCTCCATATTAGGAAATTTTTTTAAGACTGAGACATTAATTTTGTAACACAAATTAATTATCAGGACATGGCCAAAATGCCTTTTCTAAACAGCAAAATGCTTTAAAATTTAGCACTGTGTAACACAAAATATCAGCTAATATTCCAAAGCCTCACATTTCATTACTTATTTATTATCAGATGGAAACAATTCTCACTACAGGCAGAAGTGGAAGAAGCATCAGTCCATTGCCAACTAGTCTCCAGTCCATCGCATTTATCTACTAACCATTCCTGAGCATAGCCGCCCAATGACTGCTGTGATCATCTGCCCTGGATGCCTAACCATAAGTAAGCATACAACAGCTAACAGAAATTCCAGTGTCCAGTACACTGACCACCTCAAGAATAACCAGCCCAAGTCTTATTTGGTTCAAGAAAAGGTTCAATTATTTACATTCACACTTCTGCCTTGTTACATCGAAAAAGTTAATTTGTTCTTAATTGTACAAATACTGTCCCAGAACAAATAATTTTGAATAAAAAGTGCAAGTGTGATGTAATTAATAATACATAAAATAAAATATAGTACTAAATACACTTCTAAATTATATTTCATTACAGGATTATTGCAGGAGATGAATGATGCTACAAACAATAGCAGTTTAATGTTCTTTTATGTTACTTGACACAATCCTTCATTTACTAATTTTTTCATGATATTGCTGATTCAGTTAACGAAGGCTGGAGTTTTAATGATAAGACTTTTAAATACTCAATCAATATTTTGAACGTATTTTAGATGAATTCCTTGGTCATTGGAAATTGGAATAATTCTCAGCAAGAAAAAAAAAAAAAATAAATAAATAAATAAATAAAATTTAAAAAAATAAATAAAAAAATAAAAAATAAATAATATAATAAAAATAATAATAAAAATAAAAATAAGAGTGTTTTAAAATACACACATGTAAAGCATGTTGAAAAACACAGGGTGTCTCAAAACTTACCGTTCAAATTTCGTGGGGAGGTAGGGAAGACGTCAGGGAACTGATTTCACATAGCAAAGTATGTCTGCAAATGTATGCGAGGGTGCTGTGTGTCCCCAACCAGTGTACAGGTCATACGACCACTTCTGCTACCATCAGCATATGAGCAGACTTATTAGTGATGAGATAAATCGATTTATGCATCAAGAGCTAGCAGGTATGCATTTTGCATATGAGGCAGCTGGCAAAAGTGGCCACCGAGCAAAAAAAGTTTATGAAGACAAATAACCCAACAGAAGAATACCGCAGCATCAAATGTTTGTACATGTGCATCGTAATATGTGTGAAGGTGGAATCCAAATACCAACACATACATGAGCTATTGCTCAGCAGCTTGAGGTCTCTCACTCTGCAGTGTGGCAAATACTGCACGAGGAATGTGTGCATTCTTACCATTTGCAAAGGGTGCAGTTACTGCATCCTAAAGATTATCCGAGGGTGTGGAATTTGCAGTGGTTCACGCAGAAAGGTGTCGTGGATCCCAGTTTTCCAGCTCTGTTCTTTTTACAGATGAAGCTTCATTCACTCGTGATGGTGTGTTCGATACACACAATTCACATGCGTGGGCTCGCAGCAACCCGCATGGTATGAGAAGTCATGCTGTGCAACATCGTTTTGCCATAAATGTGTGGGCTGGTATCACTGGTGACTATTTGTTAGGACCTTACTTGCTACTGCCCCGACTGAACAGCTGGAAATACCTAGTCTTTCTCGAGACAGTGTTACTGACTTTTCTGGCCCATTGTTCCTGTATATATCCGCTGAGATATGTGGTATCAACATGATGGGGCTCCAGCCCACAGATAATCACACATGTGTGTGATTACCTGAACTGAACATACGAAGCACAATGGATTGGCAGAGGTAGATAGATCACTTGGCCACCCAGGTCACCTGTGTTGTGTAGCAAATTCACTTAATTATTTAAATTACAATTTACTAATATTCTAAATTTATGCTACACAACATGTATTTTATTTAATATCTGTACTGCTTTGTTTAATTTTTAATTCGAGTTTGGACGAAAGATTTGGTATGTTCTTTTCACTCGTTACTTGTAAACGTGCTGAAACACACAATGGAATCGGGTGCTTTTCTATGTAATAATCTTGATTTTATATTACTTAATTTCAGTTTAACCATTCATAATTTATACCACTAGAAGCAGAAAAATTAGTTCTTTAATTTAAGATTACTTTCAAGAATCTAGCCCTAACAGATTTTAAGATATAGTAATATATTTAACTGAAATTTCCATTTTGCATTGTCTGGAAAGTAATGAGGGAGGAAATAGCAAAAACACAGTTTCTAACAAGATTTCTAATCCTCTTGCATACGTAGTTAGGGTTCCATGCTCGGCAATAGTTGGCGATGTTTAAATTTGTGTTTAGTTCAACGCTTCGGGAAAAGGAAAAATTTTACATAGTGTGAGGCGGTGGTTGTAGAAACTGTTTTTTTTTTTGTTTTTTTTTTTTCACAATTTCTGGTGTTTGTTAGCCAATGTGGTAGTCTCATCATATCTAAAAGGTGCTGCAAGTTGGGATTTCGGTCTCTTGCCCTTCTTCCCTGGTTGCTTCTGGCTTTTAACCATGGCCATGTGAGTTCATGCTTTCATGGATCCAAAAAATTGTTGTCACCTAAGCTTGACTATGGGAGGCAAAGGCAGGCGTTCTCGTGGCTATGGGCCAAGATTACTTATTTATTATCAGATGGAACAGATTTTTAGTACCTTTTCACTGAAGTCCCCAGCGTTTCGCTGCCTGCTCAAGATGCTAAATTACTTTTACTTTTAAGATGTCAAACTATGCATGGCATTAACAATGTCAGTTTATCCTTTTACCATAAGATTCCAGTATGACATTTTTACCAAGGAGCAAGATGCCGTTATTGTTCTTCCTGCCTAAATTGCCTAGATGCAAACTCAACTGCCTTACTTCACCTTTCTGAAATAACAACAAACAATCCGATTTCCCGTGCCTTCATCCGTAATGCTACGAGTTTCAACCCGACTCCTGATGATTACTCTACCTGCAGATGACGCACAGATGTAAACGCTCCAGCTATTCCTTTCGTCTTCCAGAAATAGCAACTAGCTGCCCGATTTCTTGTGCCTTCATCCTTAATGCTTGCTGATCCTGCTTTTTTCGGAAAAATCCAGAGGTGGAGCTTAAGTAACCCGACAGATTGCCAGCTTCAAGTTTTCCCTGCCGGACCTTTTCCAGCTAAGTAAAAAAACTTACTCTTCTTTATCTTGCTATTTCCTTAAATTCTGTAAATCCTAACTCTAGTTAAAAATTTTCTTCAAGAGCTTGCAAGGAATTGTTTTAAAATGTGGGTTTACCTTATGGTGTAACTAGCTTATTTTACAAGTGACTCGTTAAATTTTTTACAAATAGAATTTTAATTTTTAAGAGTATTGAAGGGAATTAGTGATGGAATATCAATGTAAATTTCGCTAAGATAAGGCTTATTAATATTTAAATAGTTTGCAGTTATTATAGAACTATGTGATAGATCATTTTCTAATCCTAATGCTAATTATTATGGATATTTTAAATTAATTATAACAAGAGAAATTATAGGGAAATTTTACATTAACATAACTCAAGGAAAGAAAATTATCTAATTAAAGTAGTTTAATAGTTAAAGCTCCTAGATTTGAGAATACCTTCTCGTACCAGCTGTACAGTATTATTTACTGAAGAAATAAATTAGTAAATTAAGCAATTAATGCTTGTTTGAAATTGAGTATAGATGATCCTTCTAAGAATTTTGTTAAAAGTTGTGTTTTGATTGATTTTTATGTGCAATATGTTGGATAAATAAATTTGTTCTACAAGATGTTTTTATAAAATACCCTTTATGCAGATAATTTGAGTATCTGATTAAGAGAGTGAAATAGATTACAGTGAAAATATTAAAGTAAATAATGACCTAAGTGCAATCAATATATATACTATATCCTATGTTTTTCTTCTTTCTTGATTTCTCCCAGGATGAAATTTTGTGTTTTTTTGAAGATTTTCAATATTATTTTTGATGATTTAGAAATATTCTCTTGATAAATAAATGCCATTGCTTTTTCTTGGAGTACTAATTGTATGTTTTATTTAATCACTACTCATGATTATCACCAGTTATCAACATGAGGTTAATCTGGTAAAATTTTAAATCACAACGCAATGTTTATTAGTTAGGTTAGATTTTAGGAAAATTTAATTTTGTGTGTGGTGCCTTCTTAAAAGGTGCCATAACACCTGATTTATCACCCATGGATTTCTTTTTATGGGGGGCCCACGAAAGAACGAGTGTATGAGACTCCCGGCGACAGTGTAATGTGCCTTGTTGCACGAAAGATGACACAGCAGGAACTGTCCGTGATATGCCAGGATTTTTTGAAAATATTTGGAGGTCAATGCAACAGTGCTGCAAATCCTGTGTTTGTGTAAATGGTCGCAATTTTGAGCACCTACTGCAAACCTTTACTTTAACTTGTTGCAATAAAGGTCACATTGTTACCATTTAAATGTAATGTTTCCTTGTGTTAACTTTACTTGTCCATTTTGTTCATGTAGATGACATTAGCAGACATACTTTCCTATGTGAAATTAATTTTCTGACGTCTTACCCACCTCCCCACGAAATCTGAACAATAAGTTTTGAAACACCCAGTATACATTTTTAAATTTGATAAAAATCAGCAATTTAAGACATACCTTTCTTTACAGGAATCTTCACATCCACAACTTTTCCATATTTTGAAAATATATCTTCAAGTTCTTTTGTAGTCGCCTGTGTTTAAAAAGTAAATTAATAAATGAACAAAAATATTATATATTTAAAAAGCAAGTTGAATTATGGCTACAGCTTTAGATCTTAAATCTTATGTACATTTATTTAGATTACACAAAGCTTTATTAATTTTCCTATACTCTTGTCTTACATAGATAAATTTTACTCTGGCAAACAGCAAAAAGATTTTAAAATAATTAGCTGTTATAAAAGATTTTAACAAAATACTGTATATCAGCAACTGGTGATCCACAGATTACTAATGCTCCATACAGAAATTCAGTCATTCTTTGCACATTTCATATTTATCATATCCAGTAGACACCACTTAATGTGGTCACGGTTGTTATCATCATTCAGATATAGTTATCCAACTGCCAAAATACCATTTGTTTGTATATAGAAAACATATCATTTATTGTGATCAATAGTTTAGTTAATATGATCAAAATATTACACAATAATTTTTTTAACTAAAGTCACAAATGGAAAAAAAAAAAAAAATTAAATCTGAAAGCTTTCATATTTTACATTACACCCAAGGGACTTTTTTTAACATGTCCTGTCTAACCTTTATTTATTAAACATCATGTTTTTCGCAATTAAACCATAAAATTCAATTCAATTGCAATGCCGCAAAACAATTTTAAAATGAGCTTATCTTCGGATGGAGATAAAAATGTTTTGTTCTGTACAGTTTTGCCACTGCTAACTTTAAAATCTTTGAGTTTGTTAATCAAAAATTCATTAAAGATTTACAAAATATGAAATAGATAATAAAACAAATTCCAAATAAGGCTTTTAGATGCCCATATTCGGGGCAAGATTACATTATTCAAAACTGAATGGCTCTAGGTACTGTTGTTTTATCACAGTGCGAGATACATACATACATTTATGCAGATTCTTCGTTATTTAATTTCTTCAAATATAATACAGAGCGATAATATTTGATAGCAACAATTTGAAAAGTGAACCGACATCTTCAAGTTTTCAATGCAAAATGCCGAAATGAAATTAATAGCCCTTCTGAGCTAACATCCTTTAGGCTAAAAAATAGATGACAAAAAATGCCGAGCAACACAGAAATGCCGCCAAGTGAGGGGTTATGTCACCAAACAAAAGAAAAATTTGCCCAATAAGATAAAAGTATATCATAAAAATTGCCAAGTGACAGAAAAATATCACCAAGCAATGGGTTAAATTGTCAGATAACTTAATTTTGATTTCCATCAACCATTTAAAATTAAGCAAAAAGGCATAGTTTGATGCAGATTGTGAATAACTTAATTGATCTTGAAGGCCATCAAATACAAATCTTTCTTCTTTAAAAACAAAAAAAAAGTTTCACAGAATTTTCCTGAAAAATAATTGCGTAAAAACATCAACAACAAACTAAAGTTACTTAATTTAAAATTTAAAATTGGCATTTTCTCTTCCAATGAAAGATACCTTCCAAAAATCAAGATCTGGTGTACAGCATTGATAAAATTATTTTCAGAAAAGTTATGAACATTTTATAAACAAGCTTGCTTTTCCTTTTTTCTAATTAAAATGCTGTGAAAGAGATAAGTTTTTTGATATTTTTGTATTATATTAGTCAAATTCCATCTCTATTGTGAAAGATATTTTTTCATCAATTAATGCTATTGTTTGCTTGATGTTATCAAAATAGCCATAGACAAACATGATCACATTCAGTCTAATGTATCACCAATAACCAACATTTTTTTCTCTGTGAGATCAAATTCACCTTCTACAAACACCAACTAACAACATTATTGTAGTTTTCTATTGATACCTAGAAGCACTTTTGCCTGACCCACCGATGCAGTGATATGGTTGCAAGTGTTAGTACACACACATCTTATTTTCGGTGTTGTTTCTACCATTGCACATGTCAAACCATTCCGTGAATATCAGTTTTCATCCAATTGTTTTGCTTCAAAGAAATGGTTCCAGTGTAAAAAATGGTGCCCTTTGATTTGGTGCCAAATATTGATGTTGGTATCCGTTTTCTAGTAACTAAGAATCGACTCTGTTTCCTCAATGTTATGGCAGCCCTTTTTTGGTTACATTATAAGATATCTCTTCCGCCTTCTCAGCATGGCTTCGTGGTGTAGTGGTAAGCATGCTTAAAGCACATTCAAGAGGTCTGTGGTTCGAGTCCTGGCGAGGGCATAGCTTATTTTCACATCTCCTGCTTCCAAAATAACCTAATTTCTCTTCAGTGGTGCCCGAAATAAAAAAGGTGGTGGATGATGATTTTCCACCACCAATTTGGGTCCCTTAATCCCCAGTCACTCTTTAAAAAGGGGGAGTATACAAGGTATTTCTCCCACTTTCTTAGCCTGCCTTCGTGGTGAAGTGGTCAGAAGCTCCACGAGTATTCGAGAGGTCCGTGATTCGAGTGCCGGCGAGAGCATTGCTCATTTTTCAAATCTCCCGCTTTGAAATAACCTAACGATTCTACAACGTGCCTATGTTTTTGTCAATTTTAATTTGATAGTTTAATGATCGAGGGCTACGTGATTTGTAATATGTGTATCATGTAACATAAATCATGTATTTTAAATTATTGGAATATTAATGCTGTTAATTAACCTTGGGTTTTTTCATTAGCTGGTTGGTTCTAATTAATTGTTGTCCCATCACTTACACAAAGAGGTATGCCTGGAAGGATAAATAACCCCACTTGGTACAAATGTCCAGTCTGTACAAAAAATATGCATCTGGTTGAGCGAAAGGAGCAATCGGCTGGCTATGATTGGGCCTGAGAAAGGTGCAAATGCTCTTCATTGTAAGAGGTCTGTAAGGAAGAGTACATAGTTTGAAGAAAGCATGATGAGTATAATTGATATTTTTAATTTTTACTTATTTGTGAGTATAAGAAGCTGGAACGAATCTGCTTCTGAATGAAGTGAATGTCTGTTGAGTAAAACTGTGGCTGACTGAAGGAGTTTTTGTAAAGAAGTGTGTAAGGATGTACGTGTGAACGAGAGTGAAATGACTGGTAGTCCTGGTATGGTTGTGGAGATTGATGAGGGCAAATTTGGCAAAAAGAAGTATAATAGGGGTAGAAGGATGAATGGAATTCTACACAGTGAATTATTTAAAAACAACAAAGACTTTGAGTTTTCTTATTATCTTTTTTTGTTTGGTTTTAGATTTAAATAAAATTAACCCATAATGAGTGAGAAAGAGCAGCCAAATGTTTTACGCTTCCAGAGAAATGCTTCACCTTACCTAATGGCAAAAGGCATAAGCCATTTTCAAGCAATGTGTGAATAACAAGCTAATACGTGAAAGGAAAAAAGCCATTTTCAAAATAGCGGTGCACTATGAATCTTTGAGTTTGTTAATAATTTGGTTTTAAATGGTTGATGGAAATCATTCCATAAAAGATCAATTAATCAATAAAATTTTTTAAATAGGAAGCATTTATAATGAACCTTCAACATCTTATCTTTTTCTAGACATCTTTTTTTTTTTTTTTTCCTAGTGTGTGTGTGTGTGCTGTTGTTCTTCCTATGTACATAGCCATCTGTTTTTGCTTAAATAAAAAAAAAAAAAAAAAAAAATAAGAGAATTGCAAATTCTTTGCATCCATACACTTCAAAACTGCCACCGGCCAAAATAGGCATGTGCCACAACGCTTTTTCAATATACTGCTTTGCTTCATAAATACTTTTTTGCAAATTTTCGGTAAGAATGCAAATAATCAGAAAGTATCAAAGTTTTTGAGGAACAGAGTGTCCAGAAAATGAAAGTAATTCTTTTGTGAAATTCCAAATCAAAGACAAGGTCAGAGATATTGAAGGTCAAATGGTTGAAGTGATAAAAAAAAAATTATCATTTTATCCAGTTTAACTGGACAAATCTACACACATAACTTAAAAGTCAGTTCTTTGTGACTGTCTCCTTAGCTAGAGTCTTAAGTTTTCACCGATGCATACCTGCATTCCATACAAATATGCATCAGGTAACATAATAGAATTAAAAGCAGATGCCTGTCTACAAGGGTATAAGAAAATCCATACAGATTTTATGACAATTTTTAATACTGATTCATCAGAAAGAAGGCAAAAATTACCTCAAATGACAAATTTCGGATGATCAAACGCCTCTTTTTCTGTTGTTTTCTCTTCTTAAGCTCTTTTCTAGATGCTGTTAATGAAAATAATTTTCAAAAATATAAGCTTATAATAATCTTAAACATTTTGCATTACATTACAGATATTACATTACAATACAGTTATAACATAAACAGCAGTTTTGAAAACTTTATGCATACACTGTGGAAGCTCAGATCACTAACATCTCTCTTCCAAACAAATTATCTCAACAAAAAAAACAAAAAAAAAACTGAAATGATGAACACTGTCTCAAGTTATGAACACTCAAGTCAACAATACATGATTTTACAAAAGTACAAATAAATGCCAAATAAATAACCTTTTGATGGTCATTTAAAGAGTTCAGTTCGCATTCTAGTTAGACTGCACTGGGTGTACATGATTATAGCTTACATTACAAATTTATAGCAGTTAATTTTACTGACAGACACAAGTGACAAATTTATAATTACACATGTATTTGGGAATAAAGAACTGCTTAATCTTAAAACTGTTAAAAGGTTAACACTCAAAACTTACAAAAATATTTTAATATTTTCCATTCTTTGATTATCATTAATAAAAGCATGGAAGCAAGTGACTTAATAGAACCATCAGTTCAGCCTGGATGAAATTACGGCCAGATTGAGTCACAGGCAGAGACTTTGAAGGGCCCTTTTTGTTATGCATGATATAGTGCAGCGGTCATCAACATTTAGAACTTCACAGACCACTACATATATAATTTTATATTTGACGGACCACTAATATGAATTTAAAAAAAAAACCTTAATTTAGACCTTAAAAACAACATATTAATACGCAAAAACAACATTCAATTTTCCAATACATGTAATTCTAATTTTCATTTGTCAATATAATTTTCGAAACATTTGGTGTTCAGCAGCATGCCTTTATGGAAATTCAGGCTACGCCCCTGATTATGAGTAACAATTAAAACATGTAACATCTCACTGATACACATATTTCGTTCACACTGAAAAATTATATGAAAAGTATAAAATCTTACCTTCTTGTACAGAAAGCATCACATTTCAATATCACTGTAAAGGAACTTCATGAAAAGCAAGAACAAACTGGCAAACACAAAGCAATATCAATAAACTGAAAGTGTTATGCCACCAATTTGTAATTATTGTAATCATTGCTTACTCAGCAATGGTGCCATCAATCAATAGTTAAACAAAACAAAAATGGAAACTTCCAGTGATGCAATTATAAACAAGAATGCAGATGGTTCTCATGAAAATCCATCAAGTTGCCTATTGACACGGAGAAAACTGTATTATTAATGACTACAATAACATATGTTTGTAATTCAAAAGGAAAGAGAATTAAAGTTCATGCTATTATTGATAACAGCAGCATATCCATGGATGCCAACTCTCACTTTCAAATGTTGCTAGATACACCTGCAAAAGTAGCTAAAGAGTCACTAAATTCAGAAGGAATTTTGCTAAAAGTAGTAGCTAAAATTAAAAAAAAATAATTTAAAAAAAAAGTATCATCCATATCCTATAATAGGTTTTGTTACTCGTCCTTTTTTAAACTGAATCTTCATAAAAATATATATAATGTATCAATTTTTCTGCGGACCACCAAAAAGTTTTCACGGACCACCCACTGGTTGGTGACTGCTGATATAGTGTCTCAAGGGAAAACATTGGCTAGAAGTTAACAATAAAGGTGTGGAGAGGTTATTACAGAATCACAACCATAAACTCAACAAAACAGAACTACAACAAATTAAGACACACAAACAAAAGGCAACTGTAGCAGAAATAGAGTCTCATTCAGGAAGAACAGTGTTTGTTGATATTTTAGAAGCAGAAATGGAATTAAACCCTCATCAAATGACTGAAAAGTTATCAGATATATATGCTTAATACACTTTGGTTGACCATTCAGGAATATTTGAAACAGATTGATAAAGTTAATAGGCAAAGAGCTTGGGTTTTACAAAATCTGCAAGATAAAAACTAAGCCAATCTACTACAGTTCCTACACATATTAATAGAACCATGTAACAAACGCATTTCTGAATCACAAGCAATTTAAAACTTGAAATGGCCCCTTTATAATAATTCCAAATATAAAAGATCATGACTCTCTCCTAAACAGACCCCATTATTTACCCCAAAGCCAGATTTACATCTTAAAAAGGTACTGCTGACTGTCTAGTGCAGGGATTTCCAACCTTGTTCTTAAAGGAAAGATGAAGAAAATTATTCCTTCTTTCTTTTAAGAAACAGTTTTTTCACCAACTCCTTTATATTTCTCTCTATAACATACAGCATACAACTGTAATACAAATAATTGCATATAAATAATTTAAATAACAAATAAATTAAATAATAAGCAACTTAAATAACTATAATAATTAGATTAAGAATATGAGACCGATTTTCAAATTTTGCTTACATATGCTGTCCTAGAAGAAAAGAATGAAAATTCAAGATAAATTAATACTTAAAGTTTAATTTGAGCAATGCATTGCATAAAGTGGACTACAAATATATTTCTACAATTTAAAATATTAAATTCAATTGAAAATTTTTTTCATAAAAATTTAGCAAATCAATAAAAATAATTTGTCTTTCACCTTCATGTCGAGTCGAAATACCTCGAGAATATTTTATCCCCAATTAGTTTGTAAATCTGCCTAAAGGGGGGAGGGCAGTACATATTCAAAGTAGTCAAACTTAGCTTGACTAGTTTATCTATGTCACTAAATATGTACTGCCCCTTTTAGACAGATTTACAGACTAATTTTGGGTAAAATAATCTCGAGGTAACAGGCTTGACATGAAGTGGAAGACAAATTATTTTTCTATTGATTTGGTAAAGAAAAAAAACTCCTGTAATTAAATTTTATGATGAGTATAACACACTAATAGTGCATATTTAAAACTCTTTATTTAAAAAAATTAATTAGATTACAAAACAAAAAGATTGAATAACATGAAACTTGAAAGGGACAGGCATTTTTGCCTACGCTCACACATTTTAAGATTTATATCTAAAAAATTTCAGTTGATTTTTTTTTTATATTTTGAATTGTAGAAATACATTTATAGTCATCTTTATGCAATGCATTGCTCAAATTAAACTTTAAATATAATTTATCTTGAATTTTCTTCCATTTCTTCTGGGACTGCATATGTAAGCAGAATTTGAAAATGGGCCATGAACAAATGTTTTGAAAAAATGGTTTATTAGATTTATGTTTAATTATTTTTTGCATTCTAATTAATTTTACAAATATAAACAAGATTTCAGAAACAAAAATCGCAGATTGTAATTGCCCAGAAGTTTGATTTTAATTAATGTCATGGTTGTGTTTTATATACTGTTGCAATTTTTTTTAATATTTGGCATAAAACTGCCTAATTTAATTTTTATATCATTTCATTCAAAAATACAGTCAAAAGTTGTTAATTCGGACACCCATAATCCGGAATGATCTATAATCCGGACCTCAAAGCTAAAACCTTTCTGCACATGCGCCGCGTTGAAGCACGCGCAGAATACGTTTTCGTGTGCGCGTTTAATGTATAATGGACGGTATAAGTTAAAATTATCTAATTATCTATTTCAGTTAATGTTGATGATTGCGTTGTTCCTTAATCTTCGAATTGGATCCGGCTTATTATTTTTTGCAGACTGTAAGAGCAATTTTATAAAAGTAAGCTTGAACTTTCGATTATGTCAAATAGAATTTCCGATGCTGGAGCTCCCAAAGGATCTACAAAACGAAAGTATGTTTCGATGTCCATCAAACAAAAAGTGGAATTGCTACAAAAAATGGATAAAGATATATCCTTTGTTTATCTAACCGTTCCGAAATCTGTTTATCAATTTCACGCTGCTCTGCGCGGGGGGGGGGGGACGTCGAGGCGCACAATGAACTGGAAGTTGATCTGTCAACACTATCGTTATCTTCAGGGCAGTTGTTTTTATTTTATTCGGCTTTTAATTCCTTACTAAATGTAGTATTTTATCTCGATGTACTCCGTCTTTGATATTATTTAAATCAAATTCCTCGTTATTATAAATATCACGAATACAAATCAAATAGTTTTCTGGTTGCAGTTTTCTAATTTTGGCTATGCATAATGTATGCTTTACGCATGCGCGCGTTGAAAGAAATGTTTAATAAAGTAAACAAATAAATATTAAGCTTTTTTTTTTTTTGTTAATTTTGATACCCTTTAGATCATAATTACTCATTATTTTATAAATTACGGTTTCATATTTTTAATTTTATAATTTCTGCATGCCATCTTACCAGATTTAAACTGATGATCTATAATCCGGAAAAATCGATAATCCGGAATCGCCGAAGTCCCGACGAGTCCGGATTAAAGACTTTTGACTGTATTCAACCTATTCCTTCTAATTTTGCATTCTCTGCATTTTTCTATAGCGTTTTCTTGCATTTTACCTTTTTATATTACACTTACTGCATATAAAACTTTACAGTATATTTTAAAAAAATCTATTGATTTTTTACACATATTAATTAATTTTAGTATATTTTTCGTTACATTACTTTTATATGATTTATTTCTAACTCCATATTATAGCTTTATCAATAAATTATTAATTTTATGAGTCATTCTTTTGTACTCGATGCGATCTTGGTTATGTTGATTAACTGGCCATACGTATTTTGCTATTGATTCCTTTGACCTTATTGGAAACCTCTCGTTCAGTGGAATACTAATACTCTGAGCATAATACATTTTGAGGTGCTAGGATCTGCACCTCAAAATGGCACCACCAAAAAATAACTGCAGCATTATTATCAACAAACAGAGTATTCAGCCCTTCTTAACAGAAAAGGCATCATTCTACAAGACAATTAATTAATTTAATACCTATCTGTGTCAACTTAATGGCATTCCAGGGACTGGCAAACCAGTCAGTGTCACCCGAAGATGACAACAGACAGTTCTGCTGAGTCCAGGGTCCCACATCCCCAGAGACATCAACAAATTTAGGCTCCCTCTAGAGACCCACCACTGAACTAATCAGCGAAGACCACTGTCGCAGAGAGTAGAGACCACGGTGGGGTGGGTTTTGAGAACTAGGAGCGATGACTGGCCTTTTTTTTGGCTACCTGGCAGTACTATGTGGGTTGCCCCTCCCTTCAGGCTTTACACAGAATACTGAGGACAGCGGGGACTGGATGCTCAATGACCCAGGCGCTATGCGGCTACTGATACCCTAGTTACCCGGGGCCTATACCTCCCAGCCCATGACGAGTAAAGATAGGCTCCACCCCATGGACCATGGGAGCTGACAAGTTCATAAATACCCCATGGCTGGGACTGCCTAAGTACAGATCCTAGCCTGCACAGAGCGCTCTCGTCAATCCCCCCCCTTCCCATGGGATGGGAGGTGTTACTTGATCCAAATTTAGATGCATCCTAATGATGCATTTTTGAAGTTGTCTCTTTAAAAAGCTATAAAATATACATATAAATCATTCAAATTGTATACGCATTTTTTGGACTATATGTACAATTATAGTAGTGATTAGTTTACTTCAGACTGAAAGTTATTGTGATTCTTTGTTTCCAGTATAAAAGGATGAGTCTCAATTATGTTGAATTCAAAATGGAAATAATGTCACTTTGTCAATAATGTGACTAACACTTTGTCTTAAGTAACGTAGATAACAAACAAAATTCTAGTAACTAAATGAATTACAGCGTATATCTACATATATAATGTTTTAGTCAGTTATTTTTTTACCTGCATCTTTTATTTTGGCATGGATTTTAGATCCAGAAGCTGTGCTCTTCATGTTCTATTATAAAAAAAAAAAAAAAAAAAAAAAAAAAAAAGCTCATTTATTAAAGAACAAAAAGAAGATAAAATATATACTAAATTTAAATTTATTTATTATGGTAGTTGGCAGTTTTAACAGTTGCCAGTGACTAATTGACAAGTCTGGCAGCATTTACTGCTCAGAGATATAGATTAGGTGCCACATAATGTGATCAGGTTTCTCCACATCTATTTTCATAACGTTAACCGTATGATAACTTTAACCTTTTCAGAACGGGTGGTCACTATATTGTCTGTTGTGTTCCCTGTTTGAAAGGATGGGGTTGTCCATTTTAATGGTCATGTTTTTTTTCCCACCATGTTAAGAACTGAAAGGTGCAATGCAGTACTTGTGCATTAGATGCAATTGTGAATAAAAACAATACTTTGTGAAAACATATAGTGTATTTACAAAATGAAAATACAGCGCATGTTATTGTTAAACGTGCATAAGTATCCCAGTTTATTTCCTGCAAATAGACTAATAACATTAATAAGTGGATGGAAACAAACCGACAAAGATGAATTGGTCCAGGATCATTTTGACAGTGGTGGCAGCTGGTCAGATGTATATTTGTCAACTCGGAAAAAGCTCAAGTGAATTCTTTACGAATGCTGGGAAGCATATTAAGTGTAATAGTTATCTTCTACCAGGTTCTCTTGTTTAAGTGTATTTTTTTATGATTTTTTTATGAAAAATTTGCTGTTAATGTAACGGTACACTTTAACAAGTATTTTATAACACGGCAATTATCATATGAATCAGTGTGATTATCATTGAATTACCTTGCAAGTGCATTTATCTTTTATTATATGAGTGAAAGATCATTAATTTAAGTAATGCTTGTGTCTTATTTACGAGATATGATTGCATTAATTCTCAAATGCTTATATGTAAACATACATGCTTTTTTTATTTTATTGAATATTTGGATGTTGTGCATATTTAATGCAGTTACCATATGTTTATGATTCAACAGAAATTAAGGATTTAACTTGATGTATAATTTTATGTAAGGAGATCAGATTATTTACAGTAAAGGTTCCAAGTAGAGCAGATGGCTGGGACTATTTCTTCTCCACTTTAGAAAGAGCTTATGTCAATGAAAGTGTCCCTGAAGAGTATAAGGACAAAATTTTGATTTACCTTTTGGGAGATAAAGCGGCAAATTTATTAACATTGATAAGCGAAGATAAGTATGGGAATTATGAGGAAATAAAGGAAACTGTGTTGAAAGAATTTAAACCTTTACCTCAGGTATGCCTGGAGAATTTCAGAAAAGCAAAACGAAGTTCAGAAGAGACCTTTGGCCAGTTTTCTACTAGAGTTACTGCCATGTGGGAAAATTATGTGAAATCAAGGGGGTGACAGACTTTGAAGGTCTTAATCAGTTGGTGGTAGCGGACAAAAATCTACCAGACCCTTGATACGGAAACTGCAGTACACATAGGTATAAGGCAGGGAGACTCGCAAGCCAAGAGAGCTTGGAAAGGAGTGTGACATATTCTTTGCGGCTAAAGGGAAGTCCTACAACGTACGTAGGGAAGCTTGTGAAACTAAGATTTTAAATCAGGCAGTAGGTGAGAAACCTAAGGTCGAAGAAAGACGAGGCAGTCGGCATAGGTCAGAAACCATAGGGAAAACCACAGGGAACGTTAAAGGTTTAACATGTTTTGTATGTGGTTCAGCTTCACATTTTAAAAGGCACTGTCCTCAGATTAAAGGTTCTAGGCAGTATAACAGAAATGAGGAAAAGGATAAAGCCAGGGTAAACTGGGTAAAGAAAGATCAGGATAATGATATCCTAGAGGACAAAGTTGTGGTAGCTCGTGTGGATCCTTTGAGGAAGTCAGGGGATGTAAACGACTATAAGCTGTGTAAGTTGAAAAGGGTTCCTATTAGTGTGAATGGAACAATAGGGAAGGCCCTCGTTGATTCAGGAACAGAAATTACGGTGGTTAAGAAAGAGTTAACCAAAAGTCTCCAACTAGGAAGAAGGATCGAATATATATTTGAAGGGTATATTTGGTCCAGCTGTTAAATGCCCTTTGGTGAACATTGCACTGAGTATTGCTGTAGGAGAAAGTGCCAATGTCACACATCAAGAGATTTTGTGTTGCAGTTGCAGAATCGCTGGCAGAGGATGTGTTGCTTCCTCCGGAAGTATTCACCATGTTAGGAGGTCGGTTATATGACACAGGTGAAGGGTGTGGAAAACTTACCTGAAGAAACCACAAACATCCCAGAGGTTAGGGAAAAGGAAAAGTCTGTGAAGGTAAACACAGGGAAACTAGAAGGAAACGCTAGTATGGGAAGGAATCTCAATGAGAAAGGAAAGGTGGAATCAAGTGAAAGCCAAGAACCTCAGCCAGGAAGACTATGTACAGCGCGGATGTATTTAGAAGAGAGCAGGAGACTTGTGAATCTCTGGTAGGAGCATGGGAGAATGCTCAGAAAGGAAAGGGGAATTATTATACAGTGGATAACTTTCTCTTTCATAAGGACAAAATTCTTGGGGAAAGTGTGGGGGCAATTAGTTGTACCTAAGAGTCGAAGGGAGGAAGTCTTGCAGTTAGCACATTGCTCGGTGTTTAGTGGCCACATGGGGGTAAAGAAAACTGTGGAGAGAATTAGATACTCTTTTTATTGGGAAGGTCTGAGGTTAGACGTTCAGAAATTTTGCGAGGCATGTAAAGAGTGCCAGTTGACTAGACCAATTAAAACTGTTGATAGGACACCAATCACCCCAGTAACGAGGCCAGATCTGCCCTTCCAAATTGTAAACATTGATGTGATAGGTCCGATTGATCCTCCCAGTTCTAAGGGTCATAAGTATATATTATGCTTAGTTGATCAGCATACCAGATGGGCAGAAGCAATACCTCTAACTAGCCTCTCCGCCAAGTCGACTTGTGAGGAGTTATTACATATTTTTTCAAGAACGGGTATTCCAAATGTAATTGCATGTGACAATGGAACAAATTTTAAAGCAGATTTGACTCAAGAATTTGAGAGACGAATAGGGGCCAGTCCTAAGTTTTCGACCCCTGGATATCCTCAATCTAATGGATTAGTTGAACGGTTTAATGGTACTTTAAAAAGAATGTTGCATCATGTCATCAGAGAAGAAGGTAGAGGGTGGCATTTGCAAATTCCTTATGTGTTGTGGGCCTATAGAGAAGTACCCAACTCAACAACTAGGGTGGCTCCATTTCAACTCATGTACGGCAGGACACCTCAGGGACCTCTGTCGATATTAAAATCATCATGGACAGGGAAACATGAAAATTTACAATTAGATGCAACTCCTGTTTATACATATTTACAAAATCTAAAGGCTAGGTTTGAGAAGGCAGCGGAGCAGGCAAAGCTCACAGCTAAAATTCAACAAGAGAGGACAGCACACTATCATAATTTAAGGTCTACCATAAAAACATTTAAGGTGGGAGATAAGGTGATAGTCTTGATTCCCCGATTCTAATAACAAGCTTTAATGCTAGGTGGCAGGGTCCTGCAAATATATTGGAACAGAGAAGTTCTCACTCATTTGTAGTACAAATGCCCGATGGAACCAAAAGACATGTTCATCAGAATAAGATTAGACCTTATGTAGTTAGATCCCAAGCAGTAAATGTTATCTTGGAGGGGAAGAAGAGTTTGGGGAAATTGAATCTATACCTGTCAACAAGGGAGAAAAGAGTTTTTCTGAATCTCTGGAAGGATTAGAAATGTCTAATTTAGATTCAGTCCAAAGGAGTAAACTTTTAGGGCTACTGAGGAAATATCAAACATTATTTACACGTCCAGTGCAACCAGCACGAGTAGGTACACACAAGATCGAACTTATTCCTACTGCTATTAGGAAGAAACCCCACTGCTATGGAATACCCATGGCATACCGCAAAGCAGTAGATGAGCAGATACGTGAGTTGCTAGAATTAGGATTAATTGAACCTTCTGAGTCAGAAATTGCTCATCCTATAGTTTGTGTGGCGAAAAAGATGCTACAGTTAGAATGTGTATAGATTTTAGATCATTGAATGCTGTGAAAACTCCAACATTCCCATGAAGACATTACAGTCCGGATCTAGAGGGGGGCAGCCAAGTCTGTGCCCCGGGCGGCAAATTCAAGCGTTTTACTGGATCGTATTTGGAATGTTGTCTAATTTTTGATACAATATTAGTAATTTTAAAGACCACTTTTAAGAATATTTATAATTAATTACTAAGAAACATTTTAATGAAACAAACAGTTAAAAGAAAGCTAAGTACATCCGAATACGACTGTAAAGATAAGATCAGAGAGAGGACAATCGAGGAACTGCAGGCGTCACTGACAAGGTCAGACGACCCTGTCCTCGAGGCTCGCGCCTCTGCCAACTCAACACAGCCTAAATATAATAGATCTAGGGGGGGTGTTGACCAACCTCATTTGATTTTTCACTGCCGTTCGCTTGCCTTCCCAAAAGGGATTATTGCCCCTTTTATGCAAGCTCACTTCAAAATGTCTTGCCCGATCGTATACCAACTTCGCGGAATTAATTGAAGCCCTCCTCAATTCTCTAAGGAGGTAAGAAAGGAGGTTATTTCCTACCTCCATGCAATTCTCCTCGACAACTAACAATGGTCAACTTTTCAGTCCCTCACTTTAATGTACAAAGGGTGACACACAAAGAAGAAACTATGAATTACGAACGAATTACTTTCTTTTATACTCATATTATATTTTTATAATAAAGAATGATGAGTCAGAACTTGTTTATGCTCCACAGGAATTAAAAAATTTTCAAGTTGCAACATTTAGCTGCTATGTGTTATTTTTGACAATTATTATATAAAGAAGAAATCTGGGACTTAAGTAGTTAAAGCGATAGTTAATGTACTAAAATATTGTCTCCCAATTCTTGAAATTAAAAGTGGTCAATTAATGTCAAAAACTAAATAGGAAAAAATTGAAATTAAACTGAGTTATCATGTTT